TCCCATTCTGGGTCGTTCCCTGCCTTGTGCCCATATGTTCTGGACCCCCTGCAACCCTGAATGAAAAAATGGTCACAGAAAATAGATGGAACTGCATTAGCATGCTAACAAAAAGTAAGCGTTCACCAGATATCATACCTGTTATGCATTGAAAGCATAGAAACACCAGTGTTATTCTTACCATTGACAAAGTGAATCATGCGGCTGATGTTAGTTTCTTATCTTGCAGTTTCTTATTCGAAGGATCTGTGCCACCATAAACAGACATACAGTAATGCATGTTTTGCTGTATTGACAGCAATTTATCTTTTAAGTGTCAATACATTTGTTAGATAGCACAATACCAATTACAATTACTATATGCTACGTTTGAGGGTGTTTTACGAATTACAAATGAATGCCCTCTAAAATTTGAGTTTTTACACCATTCAGTACTGTAGACATAATGCATGTTCTGCCATATTGATAACAACTGATCTTGTCAATGTCAATACATCTGTTAGAAAGTTCAATACCATGTGATACACCAGCTTTTACACATACTGTACTGTAACATATCCTGAGGTTGAAGATATTTTATTTTATAGTTTTTTAAATAATGCCCTCTGTTTTTTTACACAAGTTTTTTTTACGCAAGTCAGTCCCTCACAGGAGATGCTGGATGGAATCAGGAAAACATGGGTATCTGGTGGAAATAGGAGGGGTTGGGAACACGGCATGCATGTTGGGTCAGGACTATATGGAAGATGAGCAAGAATCGCTCTATATGTTGCCACATTGAAGAACAAAACCTCACACTGAGTGAGAGGTGACCCAGGCTTTTAAAGGGACCAGCGCCAGGTGCGGTTAATTCACTGAGCAAGCTGGCATTCTCATGGGGGGCTGAAGGCAATGGGGCCAGGGAGCAGGTTTGTCCGGGTGGTTTCGGTGGAAGGCAGAGATCAGGTCAGGGTCAAGGACATCCATCGCCAGTGCCCCCGGCCCATTCCTCAGGGCCGCAAAATTCCTGATCAACCAGGTACTGCAGCTTCCCCGGCCGACATCTGGGTGGCACAGGCCTCACTGTCATCCAACAACATGGAGAGTTGGACCATCTGAGGAACTTGGGGGATGAGCCCGTTGTACCAGCAGGCAAATGTGAAACAATAACAAATACCGGTAGATGTGGGGGAGTTGCAGGCGGAAGGTTACAGGCCCCACTTGCTGGACTATACAGAAGGGGCTGATGTACTGTATATGAGGGCCGGTTAGCGGCAACATGGGAGGCGGAGGATTCTGGTGGACATCTAGACTCGCCGACCGGGTCAAAGAACGGGTCCCGGGTGGCGACGATGGTCGGCCACCAGGACTGGTCAATCAAGTGCTGGTGAGTTTATCGCTATACCATAGGCTGTTTTGGAACCAGTCATCCACTGCTGGGACATTACTGGCCTTTGAGTCCCAGGGGAACAAGGGTGGCTGATGCCCCAGGACACACTGGAAAAGGGGATAGCTTATGGGAGTTCCGCGCATACTCTACCCATGGTAGGTAGCGGATTCAGTGAGCGAGAAGGTCAGCACACAGCAGCCATAGGGTGTTTGTCACCTACTGGTTGGTCCTCTCCGTCATGCCGTTGGTCTGTATATGGTAGCTGGAGGAAAAACTGAGAGAGATGTTTAGTTGCAAGCAGGAAGCACGAAACATCCACGCAGCGAACTGCAGCTCCCTATCAGACAATATCAAGAGGGTCATGGAATGTTCCGTGGTAGTTGGGTTCTTGGACAGACGCATCAGCCGACACATCTTTGAAAGACTGGTCAACTACGATAAGTATCACAGTCTTTCCTTGGAATGAAGGCAAGTCGGTGATGAAGTCTAATGCTGCATTGTGAACCTTAATGCCGGTGCACCAATGCAAATTGATTAATCTTTCCCTCCCTAGCATTAACTGTGCAGGAAAAGCGTTCCATTTGAGTGGGAATACAACAAATTTGATCTATTTTATCACCTTAGCTGCTTCCACCCCTTCGGAGTACGCAACATGTCATCAGGCACAATCTACATTACAGTTTACATTTAATCTCACTTTATTTACTGGGCTTTATTGACTTTTATACTGTTTGTTACATGTTACAGATGTTAGGTTGATCTACTTCAAAGTTTATTTTGATTTTTCATTTTTACAAAAAACTTTTACATTGCACACATTTTATAACATTCTATTTACTAAGTTGCAGAGTTACTTTAATGTTTCAATTTACTGCATCTTACTAGTGTCAGTTTACCTCAAAGTTGATTTTACTTGCTTTCTTTGTTTAATGTGTATCAAGATGAGACTATTTCTTTATCCTTATTTTATTTGTATAAGTTTATTTGAATGTTTTTATTGTTGTGCTAACATTAAAATTGTTGCCTGTGTACCTTAAAAAATAAAGTGATTAAATTCAAAGTAAGAAGGTTCAATTCAAAATAAGTGGTTAAATTGAGCCTTTTTTCCCTGGTCTTTATTAAAAGTAGGTAATTAAAATGATCAATAATTACTGATACTGGCTCAAATTAAAATTTTATCATGATAATTTTTTCAGCTTTATCACCTAGCGCTAGTGGCAACTAATCTCACTCACATGTTAGCTGTCTTTGTGATCGTGGAATGTCAAGTTTCTCGCAGTAACTTCTCAATGCTGTTAATTTTGCATTTTTACTAATGGGTCAAAAACACAGTGCTCCTAGTGCACTTGTAAATGAACATCTGCTCAACTTTGTACATATAAAGGGGCATATTTAGATGGTTTGTATATTATATAAAAAGGTCATGATAGGAAATAGCAAAGCAATTTTGCATACAATGGGTTCAGTACACTACTGTTTGTTTAGAAATTGGTAGTAAATAGATTTTTATGACATCACTCTGGTTAGCAGGTTCTTATTGGTTGAGGTTAGGGAGGCCCAATATTAGTCTTTTAAACCTATGTTTCCCTAAATAATAGATACATATGTGATATACGGAGCTTCCTTCTTTCGTGGAAGTCCACTTTGCTTTTCTTGCTGGTTTGGTTTTCCGGGCTTGAACAATTTATGTTTATGCCCCAGCAATATTAATGGGAAAAAATATGATCGATAAGTCAAATTATTTAAATAAAAATTTCAAATGACTGTGCACAGGTTTTGAGGCAATAAATAAAATGATTAAAAATTCTGTTGTGTTCTTTCCAAGGATCTGTTGGTGTTTCGCGTTAACAGGTTCAGCAGTAGCCTAACAGCCATCTTGGTTTTGTCATATTTCCAGAGATCTTTAAACACGGGACAGATTTCTGGTTTCGAAAACTGCGAGTCACACGTCACCTTATTGTTACGTATTTTCATATCTTAACCTGTAATCCAATCCAGTCAATTGCTATTTATCCAAGATTCTTTTAAAATATTGATTAGCTTAGTATTGATTTCTCTTGTAACTGGCTGAGTTGGGAATGTCCCTCTGAAATGCTATTGAGCGAATGCTCTGTCTTATTATTAAAAATGCATGTATGCATGCTACGCTAGTCACAAAGAAAGTTCACAACTAAATCAGTTCCAATGTCTCTTTGGGGGGAAGGGAATACACCATAGACAAAGTAGCTTATATTATTCTTTCACGTAACACCTCAGCCTGCACCTCTGACATCATCTAGTATAGTTTATATATACTGTTCATGGTGAAAATAAATCAGTTATGTATTGGCATTGAATAGTAATGTAAAATGTAATCTCTCAAAACTGGAACTCCAAGATTGGTTTTGGTGCCTGTTTCACGCATTTCTTTCTTTATGGTTAACATTGTTCGTTATTAATGCTCATTACTTCCTCCAGGCGATGTGAGTTGCATGAATTTAGCCAGATTACATATTTCTACCCCAATGTGAGGAATCCGGCCAGGCCTATTTTTTTCTCGCACCATAGACGCGATGCTGTTGGGTGCCCACCGCCACGCCCTTCACAGTAACAGGAAAACAAATTTTGTCAATTCATTTATATTAAAAACATTTCAGTAAGGGGGGAATATGGTTAGCTAACTAGCGTCTGTTTCAGAAGAAAATTTGTGAAATATTAAAAGTAGTGTAAATAACTGTAACGTCATGGAAGTAATGTCATGCAACCAGAGGTAATTATTCTGATTTTTTCTCTTGCTCTTTTGCACCCTCGAATCAAATGGCGTCCCAGGCGATCGCCTTTGTCACCAATAGGGAAGCCCGGCCCCGGATCATTGGTATAGCAAAGGGAAACATAGTATCAAAATAATAGCATTGTGTTGAATTAGGGATTATCTTTGGTTATTTTAGTTATGACAGATACAATGAGATTGGTTTTTAGCAGAGAAGTGTGCCGTTACACCGAGTAGGATGTCAACTTATTGCATCAACAAGCTTTATTCTACATGGAGCTTATTTATTCCACACAATCATCCGTTAATTTTTCATATTCCATAATTCAGAACTAACACAAAAAGAAACTCTTTCAGTAGCTATGTATGTAACATTTGAAAGTTATATGGTTTATCAAGCTGGATAAAGTTATGTATACTGCCTTCTAGTTTAATCATTTGATACCAAGATAGCATAGGTATCTGTGGGCAGTAATGGCTAAGGGTTGTCATGTGATAATAATAGATTAAAGATTCAAGAGTCAGTGTTTCAAAGTCTTTGTTGTGATTGTATCGGTAGAATGAGATGATGCATTCCAGCTTTCCATAAGCAATGTTGACAGTAAAGGAAAAAGACAAAATTGATGTAATTTACGATACATGATTATACTGTACAATAAGCAGGACAAATGTAAAAAATGATCGTTCGAGAAGGAATATTTACAGGATAGTCACTTTTAGTATGCGGTGAGTAAGATAAATTAGAGAGAATTGTAGTGTGCGTGGACGTTGTGGCTTTGCACTGTCCATATTATTTATAATCAAAAACGCAAAAAACATTTCAATAGGCATCATACTGAATGAAATGAAGAACAAGACCAGGGAACATGTTGTGTTTTTTTTTAATTATTTCTCATATTGCGCAATAACTTCACAAGGTCTGTATTTCGTACAAACGACCACAGGAACAGAAAATAGAATCTAGATCATTTGAACAACATATGGTCTGAGCTTCTATCTCTGGCATGAAAGACACTTTTCTCATTACTGCCAAGGCTGCAATTAGCTTTCAGGTCAATCTGTGTATGCTTACCACAGCAAAATGACCGCTTATTCTGATGGACTCATTCTCTGTATAGGATTTTGTTATGGTGCCATTTGAAGACAATATGTGTTTGAGTGATACATTATTTAATAGGGGAACAACCAAGACCTAAATCGATTTGTGTGGCTTTTAGCATTCGAATACTATCTAGCTTAATTTAAGTTAAATAAATTCTTGTATTTACATGCATTTAGATTTTTTTTGCTTGATTCAGGGATCATGGAGTGGTTCTTAGGGATTTGATATGAACCAGTGAGTCTTGCAGCATTCAGATTTTAATATTCCATACTGTATACAGCAATTCCCTCCCTTGAGTCCTTCTTCTCCTCATCTCCGAAGTACCATACAGTCAGAAACCCCACGTCCTTATCTGTACCCTGTCCAGTGGGCTCCGGGACTGTGTGGAAAGAAACCTGACTGCTGGATGGAATGATGTTTTGCATTTATGCTCTATCCAAACACAACAATAAGATTATTTATTGAACACCCCCTACATCCATTTATGACATCCTGCTTTTTTAATTATATATATATTTAAAATCTTTTCATGCCATTGCTTCATTTTTTATTTGCCCCTTGAACCTTATTGCCTCTCTCTGTCCAGCTGCATGTCTTACCTGCATTTATCCATCCACTGTCCCTTTTGCCCTTGCAGGGTCCATTTTGTAACAACAACAATGGGATTTCACAAAAATAAAAAAAACAAAACAACACATTGTACCCCTGTGCAAAGGCAGAACGATGTTGTTAGGAACTCTAACACAAATGATACAAATGATGATGTTTTATAGTTCTGAATGACACATGCAAAGAATTATAGCTATTAGAATTTGTTTAATTTATAGCTATATTAAAAAGATGAATTATTGCCCTCATATGCTGTGTAATTTATTTCAGCTGCTCTCCAGAAGAGATCCGCCTCATATCCCTCCCATGCTATATGGATAAACGGATGTGGCCTTGACCAAAATGCAAAAGCATGACCCATGTCCCTGTTAGGAGTGGGTTAAGCTGCCCGTCACTGCTGAGTCTATTTCCCCTCTCAATAAAAAGATTTTCCTTCGGACCAAAATAATTGGAAGATTCCTACGTTTCTTCTGCTATTTTAAGAATAGAAGTTTATTGGTTCAATATATTTGATGCTTTTAAGCTCTGTCAGAGGAACCCAGTACAAAAATGATGGCACGTGTATTGATTTATCATTTTCCGTGTTGAAGATTTCAACTTTTTTCTAACCACAACGTGTTGTATACGCCTCCCTAGATAACAGATTTTAAAAGCAATTTATGTGGTTAATTGTGACTCATAGCATTTTTTGCCTCTACTGACCAACAAATACAGACACATATCAGTTGCGTTTACGTCACACTTAGCCTAATAAGTATTATATTTTAAAACACCAAAATCCATTACCGTCTTGGATGTTGGGCCAGGATCCCATGTGAAAAAGGCAGAACACTCAGTCATCGTTTAAACGACAGACGTATCTGCACACATTCATGCACAGACTTGTGTTTGGCTGTCACATCGTATGGCCCGCCGGTAATATAAAAACTGTGTTTAAAAAGTAGCCCGAGCTGTTATTGGCGTTTCCTGAGGCAAACGTCATGTTCTTGAGAAGCGCCCGTAGCAGTTGACAGAGACTCTCAGCCCACTGTACTGTACGTACAAACGGTACAAGACCGCAAGGGATGCGGCTGAATTTACGCCAGTCGCACGTGCAGTTTTTATTCGGTTAAGTCGTTACCTGGAAGTTAGTAATGTTCTTAAACGCGGTTTATCCTTAGCTCAAAGAGCCGAATTTTACACAGGACCGACTATAGTTAAAAACGGGCAACGCAGTTCAGCACCAGAGCTGTCCGAGCCTCGGCTTCTCCGCATGAACCTCGTCAAGCCGCCCCACCACTTTAAAAACTGCTTTATTATTTATATTTGCCCATTTACTTCAGTCATTCTGGGCATCTTAGTTTTGCGGGGGGGGGGGGGAAACAACTGTCAGAAACACATACTTTTAAGCCAAGCGGAGCTTGAAATGCGGTGTTGACGGCTTAAAAGGAGACGGGAAAAATCAAGTGCCGGAGTGCTGTCCGCTTTGGTCTCAGGTATGAAATGCTTTACTTATTTGCAGAATTTGCAAGGAAAGTATCTTGTTTTTTTGTTTATGAGTATATGTCGTTTCATTTAACGTTAAAATAGTTCAAAATGCAATTGTTTTATTTTCAATGCTTTATTAGATGCGTTAGATGCACAGGGGATAGCAACCGTTATAACCGAGGGGACATGCTACCCTAATATATAATTTAGCTTCATTCATCCCCCGAATAATAGATCTTCGTATTTAAACTATTAAGTTGTCTCCCCAATGTATAACTCAGTCCTTTGCCGATTTTTCTTGCAATCAGCTCTCATATATATCGCTGTGTATGATATGTATGTTCCGTAACGTCGGTTATTATTATTTAATTTCAGCATGTTATTGTGCAGTTTTGCGTTTGCAGTGGGTTTCCGTAATTTGTCGTTTACATCTACGAGAAGAGACATTTTTACGGGGTATGGTTTTGGAGATTGATAGTGCATTTTCACGATTCCTATTGCGAGCGATGCACAATTATTTGTGTTTATGATTTATGAATCTCTCTCTTTTTGTTTACCATCGGCATCGCTTGTTTCCTGATTGGGGCATTAACTACAAGCAAGTAATTAATATTTAGGCGATATATACAGAACGTGTTCACCCGTTTAAATAATTTAAGTTACTGTATATCAAGGGTAATACTTAACGTTAAAGAGGAAATGCCTTGTTATGTTGCTCATGTCTTGTTCTAAATGTGATATGTTGCCATAAAAATAATACCCAAGAAGGTAAATTTGCCTACGAATCAACAGTAGGTTAGATTTTCGTATTTAGTGAAGATGTTGATGGGAATTCCCCTTCTGAAAGGGCATAACTGCAGGGCAAGCTTGTTTCTTGAATCAGACATTCATTTACAACTCTGTGTCATTAATCACTACATTAACTGCTGCTTCATTTATAGCCTTATTTAAACTTTACACATCACTGAAGAAGTAAGCAGGTGTCATAAATGAAAAAAGCAGAAACAGAAGAAAGACGAATAGCAAATATGACTACAGTAAATACTGATATCAGTATGCTGCTTGGAATAAAAATAAAGTAGGAGAATGTGAGCAAAAATGTTTTCTCTGACAGCTTACATTTCTATGATGCATACTGCTAAAGCAAATTTGAGATTTTAATTGGATCATCTAAATTAAATTTAAATAATTTATGGGTCAGGCTGCAGTTTAATCACACTGCAGTTTCCTTTGATTGGACATTTTCTGAATTTGTGGAACAGAAATGCAACTCTCAGAATGTGCAGCTTTAGGATGCGGATTCCACTTAGGATACACATGTACACTGCATCCATTTAATCCCACTTACAATTATGTATGGGGGGGGGGATGTAATTAGGATAAGACTGCTGTGTGGAGGAACATACACTGTGTATGGCACACTGTGAACAACAGCAAACATCATTAGTGTCAACGTCCTTTTGCAGTCCACTTCATGTCTGAGGTCTGGGTTCCACATAATCACTACTGAAGTTCATCTTTGCCTAACCATATTTCCCAAATTAATTATAAGATTTTATAGGACACGGCAGTAGTTGGCCCTCCACTCCAGCCCTAAGGACATGAATTCCTTCCCAGAATTCTTAAGCCTGTGCCATTCTTATTGGCATCTCTACAACATACCTATTGTTTGTACCTTGCAGTGCATTGGTTGACTCTGGCGCTGCATTTGGCACAGGCTGAATAAAAATGTAGGGGGTGGTTTCTTACTAAACATGCATTCACATTCAAATGCCTCTCTCTCCAAAATCACCAGTGGAATTTTAAATCCTGGGAAGCGGAAACGTGTACATTGCTTTTTCAAATGCTTATCATGGGCATGGATGTTCGACCAGTTTTTTTTTGTATGGTTGGATTTGGCTGAGGACCTGTATCTATAACCAGATGCTTACTGGTGTAGATCTCTGGACAGAATTTGCTGTTTTACCTATAGGAATTTTTACTTTAACTGACTTAGTGAAATAGGAATGGATAATAAGTTTAGTGTAGATTTAGTACCAAAGCAATAATAAAATTTTCCCTTTTTCAGTGGCCAAACCGGGATTCCGTCGCCCTGCATGTAACTCATTTAGTAGTTTCTGTGTATTAAGAACCACTTTTTGTTTTCTTACATGAATTCATTATCTAGAATGCCAGCTAACACAGACATAATACTGTAAACATGAAATTGTAGTCAGCTCATACTGATGAGGGTATGAACATTAGAGATGGCTTTCATCTTTATGAGAGCACACATATTTGGAAACACTGACCTAAAAGAGATTTTTTAAAATTTAAATACTGTTCTGTACTTTCTATCATAAAGAAGAAAACAGCACAAAATAATGATCTGTTTCTCATATTTCGTATTGCTAAAGACTGAAAAGTTAAATTATGTATTATATAGGGAACCAAACTATATGTATCGAGCTGGTTTCGTGGAGAAGCAATAGCTAGAATTGTCATTGGAGTTTATTGAAATATTGGCCTACAGCTTGGGCAGGTTAATCTGTATGCCTGCATGAAAAAGCTGAGAGTTCAGTCCCATTACTGGAATCCATTATACTGGGTGCTGTACAGTAAGCCGTTATGAATGAAAGCTCTTCCCAGATCAATACAGTCATATGTGTTATCAAGATACCTATGCAGAAGCCTATGCTATTGTTTTACCCATATGCTGCTATGTATTTCCTAATATAAAACCATGACATTAAGGTGGTACTGGAATGAATATGTTGTCTAAATCCATAAAGTGTCAGGTTTATAGGTTTCTGTGATTATTTGTCTACTATGTGCCAGTGTTCAGAAGAAACAGAATATTTGAACGTGACTTCCTATTTACATGCTCATACTATTCAGCAGTGATTCTCTTTTATCTTTGGAATGAAATAGCTGAGAAACATGAAAGCAGACTGCTGTGATGATCTTAATGTATACTTCAGTAACACATCACTTAAAGCGATCATCATGATGCATTATACAGACCATCATAATACATTATAATGGATTCATAAAGTATTACAAGCACAGCTATAACTATTATAAAAAGGCATAACACATTATACCCACGTTTGTTATGCATTATGAATGCTCTGTGAAGCTCTCATCTATAATGTGCTATAGATACCTTCATAATGCATTATAATTGTCAATATACTGTAAGCCATTCTTATTACTTAATACTTATTAGTAGACATTCCATCCATCCTGCTTATCCTAGACGAGGACACAGGGTTTGCAGATGTTAGTACCTTAATATGCAGTATTTTATATGAAGTAATGGACAATAAATAATGAAGGTGTGGTTATTCAAATACTGAATATTTGAAGAGACTATATCACCACCCATTTCATCTTATTTTGACTATATAAAATTATGAATACAAACACGGTTGATGTGTTCAGCTGAAAAGAAAATGCATAGTTACTTATGCATATGTGCTGTGTTTTTGGGGATCTTAAAGATTTTCAGAATAATTCCTGATTTGGTGCCGTCCGTAAAAGCCTGAGCTGAGGTGCTTTGCCAAATGTACATGGAGATGAAGGCGTTCTGATCTGCCTGAGACAAGAGCTGAGCAACAGCATCAGATGCTTCACAAAGGCTAACAGAGCCCAGGGAGTTATTCTCAGGCCTGTTGATGGGATTATAGATTTTTAAAGAAACCTCCATTTCAAACAAAAATTTGGGTCCTCTTGCATTGTTAATTATCCTGTGATGGTGCTTTTTCGATTGTGCTGCTGTGAAGTCTATGTGGTTACAAAGTGAACCTGGAAATGAATGTATTACACTGTATAACACATTTTTTGTTCCTGAGTAGTAAGTGTTATTCCCTATTTGCTTCTGCCCGAAAATATGGAAACGGCTGTTATTCCCCACGAACTTTGCCTTTGTGACCAGTACAGTGCTATTTTGAAATTTCCACATCATTACAAATATTCTAGATAGATTGAGTGCTGAGTATACTTCAAGTAACTACTAGAACTTTCGAGAACTTTCAAAAATTTTCCAGTAATATAAATATTAGTATAAATACAGGGGCCTTATGCCCACCAGCTCAGTTTAGTTACAGCTGCAAGGAAAAAATATCACTGTCCAGGTCACAAAAGATGAAAGATTTTAGGGAATAACAGCCATTTTCTATACTTCAAACTTCCGAGGCATAAGCAATTCGGATATAACACTTGCTTCCCAGGAACAATAACAAAAAAATGTGATGCAAATTTTAGTTGCCAAGCTATGATTTGTAGGAACAGCAGTGCTCTACGTAAGGTTTTTACAATGCTGACCCAATTGTGTCACATATCTTACTCATGACTTTTCATGACTGTCTGCTCAGTCCTTTTGACACAAACGTTTCTAACATGACTTGAACACTTGATTATATTATTCAATGGTATTGTTTGAATTACCTGACAGGCATAACACTGTTCAAATGTACAGTTTAGTTATACCCTAGCTGAGGCCTGGTAGGTCTGCTGTGCTCGGTTGTGGAGCCAGGAAAACATTTTATTATAGGCTTACCACAGCACTGTTGAATTCTGGCATCTGAAGGGTGTTGATTAATTTTCTGTAACCGCGCTCGTAGTGCCAGCCAGGCGATCTACAGCACTAAATCAAATAATCAATGCATGGTTATAATCTGAAATCGTAACGTTACTCAACGGAAACTATAAAACCAATTGCCCTTGATGGGAAGGTCACTGGCTGAAACAGAATGATGGTGGGTCACCTCCAGCTTCAGTGGTGCCGCATGTTGCCCCCCGCCCTGTGCCCCCCACAAGCTTGCTCTCGCCTGTTTGTGTGTCTTGTGGAATGAAAGGCAGGATAGGTGAAAAGACAATTTTCCACAGGGATAAAGTATCAATAAAGTATGAATAAAGTATCACTATTCGGTTCTAATAAACACAGTGACTTGGGTTGTATATAAGCAAACTGTTTAACGGTCGTAGGTTTGTAACTTTTTGACACTGGATTGTCATGCATTAACCCTCACTTACAAACCTGACTATAAAACTATACTGTAGCTGCTTTTGTTGTGATTTCTAAGTTTTGGCTTTAATTCCTTATCAATATTTCCTATAACAAAATTGAAATATGCAGAAGCAGGGCATATTCTGTTTTTGTTCTGCTTTAATCCATCCAGTACTACTAGAGATCATCAGTTGAGATGATGATGGGATGCATGTTTCTGTCTTCTGCTGTGTATCGAAATGTTTAAACCTTGAATATTTTACAGAGGACATGCTCTCACAAGCTTCTAAATTAAAAAGAGCTTGAATTTTAATTTTAAACTATATGACTGCATGTGCAATGAATTCTAACAGCTAATGGGGCCAATCAAACTGTCTCCAGGAAGTGATGTCACTGTCATACTCTTCACCTATAAATACTTGTTCAAACAAACAATAAAGGGTACAGTGCCTGAGTCACATGGTGCCATTATAATAGGTTTATTTTGACCATAGATTGAAACCACATACTTCACCACTCCACCTAGAACAATGGCTCAAAAAGAAAAGGAATTACTGAGTTAAGGAACTAAACAGCTAACTAGGAAAATTAATCAAACAATAGCTTTGACTCCAGGTGGGGGTTCGATAATTCTCTCTGCAAGAAATGCTGCCTTAACATGTATAACTTTTGCCAGGCACTTTTGTCCTGCCTTCTAATGAACTAGAAACCTTTTGCCAAAATTATTGTTTTTACCCTCTAGGCTGTTACATTAAGTAATTTGATGCTAATTTCACGTCCCAGAAGTCAGTTACACAGAGGAATCTCTTGTGTAAATGGACATACCGCATGATAATCTGGCTGAGGACTTTTGTGATGATTACTTCCACCTATTCTATTGTCAAACATGGCCATTAAAACATACAATACAAGTAACCATCTAACTGGTAGGGAAAGATTCTGCTAATTGTCATATAAGTGGTATGAGGAATAAATAAAGTATACTTTCAGATCTATGTATCACCACAAGGACAGAATTCTGGTTAAAACATACCAAGCATGCAAGATGACTGTGGCTTAGATTGCTGGACCAAGGACCGTCCTGGGAATACAGTTCTGTCATTTCTGGCAGCACCAACATTAGCTGATTAACAACATGAAAAAAAAACATAATGATAAAAAGGTTTTTTATAATATAGCATTATAATATCCTGCCATTTAAGTTGAGGGCATAAGTCACTGTGGACAGGAATGTGTTTGTAATATGATTGTGATAATATCTGTAATACTCTGGAGTGTGTTTGTTTTCTCATTCTCCAGACATGGGTGTCCTGATGTCCAAGAAGCAGCAGGTGGAGAAGGTGAGGAAGTGCAGTGCAGTGGTTACAGTATTCAAGGAGGGAATAACCAACCGACCACCTCAAGCTAGTCGCACTGATACTGAAGACCACACTAATCCCACTGAGGGGCCTGAAATCTCTGAAACAGACCAGAAGGAGGAAGAGGAGTCAGACAATGGCAGAAAACAAACAGCCCCTGTGACACAGCAGGTGTCCTCTTCAGTCAATCAGGAAGCCTGGTCTCGGCTGCTTGATGGCAAAGGGGTGGAACCAGAGGATCTTAAAAAAACCAATCAGCTTGTCCCTCCAGCCTTCATCCGGCCAAAAAGGGACATCAATGATGACCAGCCAGTCAAAAGTGACCTATATCAGAGGGAAGAGGTGAGTGAATTAGCAAAGGAAAAAAGAAAGAATCTCATAGTCTAATGTAATATTCCAAAGCATTAGATGCTGGGTTATCTTTGCAGTCACTAAGCACTAGTAATTAGCTCTACACAATGTAGGTTCATCACTAGGGCTGCATCTGAATTCAGGGGCTGCATCCTTCGAAGGCTGCATTTGAAGACGACAAGGCCATCCCATTTAGATGACCCCTTCAAATGCAGCCTAGAAATGCGTTATTGTTTTGCTGAAATCCCAAGATTCATTGCACGAAACTTCGAAGGACGCATAGGATGGGACATTATTATCTCCAGTAGGATTATATGCTGTACTTCCATATAATGGAGCATATAGCAATTTAAATGATTGTTTAAATAATCATTTAAATGACATATTTATAAATAGTCAATTAAATGACAATTTCAGTTATAATTTAAACGACATATTTATTTATTGAATATTGACACACAACACCCTCCGTACTGGTATCACTGTTGTTGTTATTTGGATATGTGTATTTTAGCATGCGATTTTAGTGAGCTGGAGGTTTTTCAGGAACGCATTATAGTCACATTGAATACATTTTTTTAATTTTTAGCTACCAAAAAATCCATCAGAGTTTAATGATATAGGCTGTACTGTAGAACGTTTTCTTACAGTGGATCAGAATTGATTTTGACCCGGCAATCCCTATGCAGATCATATATCATCATTAATAGCCTGCAGTCTCCATCCTATCTCTGTAGCAAGATGACTCACTGGTCAACCGACATTGGAGACATATTCTTGTCAAGTTCTTGAAAATGGTGGAGTCAAACAAATTCATAAAATAAAATTATGGAAACCAGAAAGACAAATAAATATGTGATGTTGTGATTCTGTGCTGCAGAGGTAGCAGACCCAAACCACAGAACTGTCGGCCCACTGTATGAGTATTGTTAATTCATGAAGCAGTCCTACAAGTTTGGAGCCAAAGTGTTGAGCAAATTGAATCATGGATAAAGTATTAAGAGAAGAGTTCTGGTTTACCTTGTTTGTACTTTGCTGATTTGTTGTAAAGATCTTAATCATTCTAATAGGCTCTTCTGGTAGTTATAATTAAATTAATTCAGCTAAATGTCAAATTGGTGTGTAAGTGTGCCATTGTAATTGGTTGATGCCCCATCCTGGGGTCTTCCCTGCCTTGTGCCCATAGTCGGTGGGATTGGCTCCAGATCCCCTGCAGCCCTGATTAGGACAAGCTGTTACAGAAAATGGATGGATGGATGGATGGATAGATGCCAGATCATGCCTTGCAATGGGCGGGCACCCTGTGCACTGTTTATTTCTGCATTGTGCCCTGTGTGGGCCCCTCCCCCATTGACCATGTTTGGATGACAAAGTAGGAGGTTCTTGGATGGCTCAGCTTAAAACACAGAAGTGTTTTTTTTCCATTTGTAAAATGCATACTTCTGTCTAAATTTTCATTTAACCTTCAAAGAAAATTGCTTTTTTAGACTGTAATGAAACATTACATGTTGCCTTCTTTAGTTAATAAATAAGACTACTTTCATAAATCTGGCAATGATTTTTGAGATATGTAAAACAAATTACTAAAAAAGCAGAATTCATTTTTCCATCCATCTCCCTACTGCTTTTGAAACTCCAAGCTGAATTGTTGTTCAGCTGAGTTCAGATAAGCAAAACCTATATTCCATCATGGGAAATACAGTATTTAACAATATTTTTTTAACATCATTAAACTAAATTTATCCAGATAACATTAAGAACAAAATTATGAACAACAATGTGGAAAAGGAGCAAACTGAAGAGAGGAAATAAATGGTAATTGTATGAGAAGTTATTGTAATAGAAGGTTATCATCTGTACTGAGATATGACAGTTAAACAGATATACAGCTGCAGGACTAGAACAGAAGATCGTCTCTACAAATTTAAACACTGTCTGGACATCCCATAAAAAGAAAATAGTGTACAATTCTTGCTGCAATTTGTATTTTATTACCACATTGGCAAAATAGCTATATTTTAACCAGCTAATTAGTTTTATTTTGAAGGTGAGTACAAATAAATGAAACTGACAAGAGGTGAATTCCTGGATGCAAATCAAACTAGATCATATACTGTATACAGTGATAAATACACATTGCTGAGTGAAAGGTACAGATTAATAAAATCGGTGTGATGAAATGTTACCTGAAGATCACCGACAGAGACCCTCTGACAAACACATCCAATAATAATTCTGTTTTTCCATGTAAGTGCATTACTGGCAATGGTATTTTTGAGTAAGGATTTTTTGAATGACCTGCATTCTTGTCACTCTCTTAGCCCACTAATGATGAGATGTGTGACGTCTGCGAGGTGTGGACCGCAGATGACCTGTACCCTTGTCGGATCTGTACCCGAGTCTTCCACGACGGGTGCCTGCGAGAGATGGGATATCTGAGCAAGGAGAATCTGCAGGAGATGAGGGAGACTGCGCAGACCACCACGGGCTGGAGCTGCTACTACTGTGTGAGTGTGTGTGAGTGCGTGTGTGTGAGTGTGTGTGAGTGCGTGTGTGTGCATGTGTGCGTTGCATTACCATCTGCTCGCACTGTGTGTGCGTCTCATACATCACTGAGTGAAAACAGGGGGCAGTATTTATATTTAGGGCAACACTGACCTTATATTGTGCTTGTAACATAATATTATATGTATATGTATTTTATGCACATCCTGTTAGGTAAAACTGTAGTCAAATGTGCCCAGTCAGCCGTTACTACTATGGTACAGTTTTACTTGAAATTTTGTAATAGATTCATGGATGTTGGTTATAGGGCAGTTTATTAATAAAGCCCTTATTTTTTCACCAGTGAGGGTAAATGCCTGTCTGATTTGCCATCTCACAAGTATGTTTCTTAGAGGAGGGTCTCTGTGAATATGTGTGTAATGTGATTATAATACTTAATATAATAACATCTTAGCAGGCTATTGTTTGCTGTAGTTGTTTTAGTATATCAACAAAACAACCTTTATAATGCTAACGTTGCTTTATATTAGAAACATTATAATATAGGACCATGCTCTCTCTTACCTCAATATTTCACCATTTGCAACATTTGGAATGCCATTACTCTGGTGTAAACAGGTTCTGTGCAATTAAACACCCTTTTCTTTTGGGAAATATGAAATACAATTGGGATGTTTTTCCATTTTCCTCAATTCCATTTTCTGCTGACAGCAAGTACAGATGTGCTGATAGACCTAGATACATCCCTCAGTTCCTGCCTGCATCCTCACAGGAGAAAGATAGGTGGTGGTGTGGTAATTAGCAGTGATGAAAAATCAACCGTTTTTTTTTTTATTATCAGAGCAGGGTCCATCTGCAATAGGTTGTATTTTTTAATCAAATGCTGAATGCTCTTGGGATTCTAATCTACAGTTTGGTCATTGTCAGTTTAAAAAGCATCTAATTTCCCTCCAACATGTTTTTCTTTTTCAAATAAGCTGCATGTAATTACCAGCTGGGTTTGCGAAACTGGAAATGCTCCAGTTTTCCATGGGTTGAAGAAATTGCCTTGGCTCTAAATTCATTTTCAAGTTTTTTTTTTGTTAAGGTGTTCTATTTAAGCACTTCATAAAAATCCATTTCAAGACAATGATTTTGTTTGATTCTGTATGAAATTTGTTTATCATGTCAGTCTTTTCTGAGTCCTAATTTGTTCCCTGAAATTCCACATTCCTGTGTTCAATGTAATGCCTCTGTTAGTCTTTGTAGCTCCCATTCATAAATGCTTACCTGAGTGTGTTTAAAGCTCGAATATGTACAACAGCAGTAAATCCACTGTGAATTACCTTACTTCAGTTTAAGCATGACATCATTTGTCTCAACCTTTTTGGCAGCCAAACTGAATTTTATTTCAAAGGACATTTCTTAGTGTTATATTGAAAAGCATGGCTTTTCAGTAAAGCAGGGATGTGTGGAGTATTAATTACATCTGATTATTTACAGTAATCATCCCTTATGTCTGATTTGAATAGTTAATGGCTGCTTTGATTTTCTAAGCACCTGCTACGATTAACTGCATAGCAGTTGTAATTGTCCTCAGTTTGAACCATTCATTTGGTGTGCAGAACATGTGATTAAAAGTAGTCTCTGTATTCTATTCATAATTTGTGTGTGTGTGTGTGCAGATATATGTTTTTTCACTTTAGGCCATATGCACAATACTGCCTTTTTTGTGTGTTATAAACACTCAGGGAGTATATCTCCTGTGCTGGACTTAAGCTCCCTTTAAGTTACCTGAGAGATCATGCTCAGTTATTTAAATTAATGGTGTGAGTAGTTCAGCAGGATGCATTTTGTAGCATTTTTTTTTGCAATAAACAGGCACAGCAAGACATGGGGGATGTTTAAATAGTACTTATGTTTGTACTAGTTATCATTTGTATTTATGATGATTATTTACTGATAGCAAGATAGCTACAGTAGCTAACATCATTGTCAATTGTGAATGTAAAGTGAGTTTAGTTTTCATCTTGTTAGCCCTGACATATTTTCCTTGTTAACAACAATCCACGCAAGTCCATTAAAAACATAAACCTTTCACTGATGGCTGTGAAAAAAATAGGTCTCTTTATGTGGTGCTAAGGGTCTTGTGCTGTTTTAGGTTTAATTTTGAAAAGTAGATTCTGAAAAAATTTATTTTTCATCTTGTTGAAATAATGGATTTATGGAGAAATATGTTTTTCTTTGGAGAGTGATGATATATAGGTCTTGCTCTGTTGTCGGACAGCTGCCAACCATACTGTATAACCCAAGTGCTATTTGTGTAACCAGTGAAGTTCACAGTGAATTTATTTTCCATTCATGTGTAGGAAGGACATGATAACTTTGCTGAATATGTTGCTTTTCCAGTGGCCTTTACTATTAGCAGTCAAGGAACCCAAGGCAGGGTTTATTTCAGCAGCCAGAGGAGCCATTTCAAGCTATTACTGGGTCACATCAGCATCTTGCGGCATTGATCCCATCCCTCTCTTCCCCTGGGTTTAGCTTCTAGAATGGGTCACTGTAGATAGCAGAAAGATATGTAGGAAGCAAGAAAAAGCTGGATGAGATAGTGGATCTGACTGGCTTAAACCAGCAGTTTGAAGTTTACTCCAAAGTGACTGTGAGTTTTCTTTCCAGTGCATTTTCAAGGCCTTAGTAGTAAATTCAGTGTCACACCTCAAGGTTTATTTCCTACTCTGACCCTGTGTTTCCTCTATTGTCTTACCATAGCCCCAAGACATAGTTCAGCTGGATTGGTGTCTATAAATGGTTGACAATTTGTGTGTGGGTTTTGTGTATAGTTTGGATACAGGATGGCACATTGGGTCTGGCATTAGGGGTTTGAATCTCATCTCTGCCATCCAGGATGTATCCCAGCCCTGTGCTGTCAGGACCCAGACCAGGATAAGCAAAGTCAGAAGATGGATAGATGAAAGTTTGATGCAAACCGGCATTGCATATTCAGGAAACTGACCTCCCATGCATTCTTTATTATTTATATCACATTCTTTTTATTCCTACAGGACAATGTCAACCTCCTTCTCACAGAAGAAGAGATGTATAGTCTCATGGAAACCTTCAAACAGTGTAAGATCATTCCAGGTGAGCTATTCTGTACTGTCTACTAAATGGATGATGAAGTTGAACTTCATCATCCATCATCCATTTTCATTTATATAATAATGCAGTTTTTTAGTTTGGTAATTTTGTGTCCTCCTGCAATCAAAAAAGTCATGGTTTAGGTGAATTGGTGTCTCTATATTACCCATAATTTGTGTCCTGTAACGGACAGTGCCCAGTCTCATGCCCTGTGCTTCCCTGGATAGACTCCAGGGTCACCCTAACCCTGTACTGGCTAAGTGGTTATTAAAACAGACTTCCTAATAATTTTAATGAAAAATATATTTTCTGATACAAGGATTTTAGACCATAAAAACATTAACTTCACTATGAAAATATAATTTTTATTTGCTTACCTATAAACAGAGCATTACTATACTGACTGGATCACCGTACCACCTGGTCAGGTGTTAATTAACTGTGAATTAATTTTCTTTCGCCATAGAGTCATGCCTCGGGTCAGACGGTCTTCTATACTACAAGCACTTTGTGTTCAAGCAGCTTTTTGAGAGAGAACTGTCAGACGAGCAGGAGGAGGAAGTCCTGGCCCAATATGCCAGTCTGGACACTGAGAAGAAGGGCCACATCGAGTGGTCGGACTTCCTGTACCATGAATCCTTGGGAGTCCTGAAGAAGTTCCGTACTCAGGTGGCAAAGACTTCCATGTTCCATGTCTCATTGCTGTAATTTGGGAAAAAAGAATAGACAACTTTCTGTTGAATTTTAAGGATGTGTGAATGTTTGTGTTAAGCGGTTTGATTACAAACTTAATTATACCAGATACAATATAGTTTCGGTGACCGGACGAGACTTCTCTCTTGTTTTCTCCAGAACTCACTGGTCAGGTTGCTGACGGCCAAAGAGAGAGATCGAGCGAGGTTGGTTTTTTTCGGCCTGGACCAAGATAAAGATGGATTCATCACCATGTGGGAGACACGCAGAGTCCAAACATCCTGGTTCCAGAAACATACGAAGGAGTCACAGTCCTGCAGTGTTAGGTAAGGGTTCGGATATACCGTATCAATCAGTACAGCTAGCGCTGAATCAGAGATTTTGCCTCTGCTGTAAAAATGAATTCTCTAATTGAGTCATGTCAAAATAAGACTGAATTCATTTATATTTTACAAGCTAACAAACCAATGTTGACTTGAGCTTAAGATGTATTGGTGGATTAGATGGACAGTAACTAGCATATATTTGGATCTTCCATGGAATATCTGCATATGCATAAATTTCTTATAAAAATGTCTAACCAAGTCATAGCAGACAGACAACAGCTATGAGTTTGCCAAGATCTTTTGAATTTCAAAATAACGAGATGCAGCTTTCCTGGTAAGCAGCCAACAAGGCTTATTTTTTGGCTGAAACTTCATCTTTACTGCAGGAAGGCCTTGATGTATCGCACAGTTTGTCTGACTATTCTTTACTTCAGTAATTTGTTGTTATTATTCCTACTCCCTCCTGTTTTGCCTGCAGAGAAGTTTGTCAAAGCATGTACCCCAACCTGGACAGAACTGAGCAATTATTCTTTTGATAGGCATTTCCTAAACATACATAATCAGTAAGAATCACAGAATTAATGCATGAGAAATGCGGACACAAACCAGTGCAACACTGTGTTGTTTTTAGAGATGCATTTGAGCACAGATGTCAGGGCAGTATTTTATATCATGGACAGGCAAGATATAGGATGTAGATTTAAAGACGGATGTTCAGTTTAAGTACAAATTTAGTGGCATATTCACAGACTAATGGCAACTTTTGCATTCAGTTATGAATGTATCTAATTATATAATTGCCTAACTCTTTGTTTCTTTGTTTGAAGTTCCCATATTGCATTACTACTTTGAACTGAATTCCTATCGTTATATAGCCTGTACCGCTCTTTAGTGTTGGTTTGCTTACTCATGATAAACGTGAAACTAAAGCAGAATATTTCATTCAGGTCATCATGTGACTTTTATATTAAGACACAAAAACCTTTACACAAACACAGTACACCACTTATGAGAGCCTTTGAAGTAAGTACTTTTACTGCACGTTATTTCGGTTCTCCTGGTAAGAGTGGTCATATGTTTTCATCCTGTTTATTTATGAAGTACTACTGGAAAAAACTACTTCCACTTCAGGCCCACGGTATTAGAGCACAAGAGCTGTGAATGCACTGTATAAACATTGTATTTTAACCTGTATGGAATAAATGCAAAGGTAGTAAAGTAATGAAGCAAAATATAATATGTAAATTTAAATGGTTTGTAATACTACATCATGCAATGAAAACAAATAATGCTACACAGTTACTTACTATATCCTAGAATGTTTCATGTGTCATGGACATGGCTGTCATGGTTATCGTGGTAAAACAGCACAAACAACAGTGAAACATTAGCATTGGTGACACGGTCATGCAGTGGTTAGCAGTGTCGCCTCACACCTCTGGGCCTTGGGTTCAAGTCTCCACCAGGGATCTGTGTGTGGAGCTTGCATGTTCTCCCTGTGTTGTTTCCCCCCCAGAGTCCAAAAACGTGACGAGGCAAATTGGAGTTACCGTAGGTGTGTGTGTGTGTGTGATTGACTGCTGTGTGAGTGTGCCCTGCGATGGATTGGTGCCCCATCTGGGGTTGTTCCCTGCCTTGTGCCCTGTGATGGGTTGGTGCCCCATCCGGGGTTGTGCCCTGTGATGGGTTGGTGCCCCATCCGGGGTTGTTCCCTGCCTTGTGCCCTATGATGGGTTGGTGCCCCATCCGGGGTTGTTCCCTGCCTTGTGCCCTATGATGGGTTGGTGCCCCATCCAGGGTTGTTCCCTGCCTTGTGCCCTGTGATGGGTTGGTGCCCCATCCGGGGTTGTTCCCTGCCTTGTGCCCTGTGATGGGTTGGTGCCCCATCCTGGGTTGTTCCCTGCCTTGTGCCCTATGATGGGTTGGTGCCCCATCCGGGGTTGTGCCCTGTGATGGGTTGGTGCCCTATGATGGGTTGGTGCCTCATTCGGGGGTGTGCCCTGTGATGGGTTGGTGCCCCGTCCTGGGTTGTTCCCTGCCTTGTGCCCTGTGATGGGTTGGTGCCCCATCCGTGGTTGTTCCCTGCCTTGTGCACTGTGATGGGTTGGTGCCCCATCCGGGGTTGTTCCCTGTCTTGTGCCCTGTGATGGGTTGGTGCCCCATCCGGGGTTGTTCCCTGCCTTGCACCTGTAGCATCTGGAATTGGCTCCAGATCCCGGTGACCCTGAATAGGACAAGCGGTTTCAGAAAATGGGTGGATAGAAAACATTAGCACAAAAAATGTGAGAAGAAGTGAGTAATGTATGTTTGTAACGGTCAGATTTCCCTGTTCAGACACACCTACTAAACAGGCAGAGTGGCTGGTATTACATCTTCCTCTCCTGTCTTGTCCAGTATCAGTCACGTCGGGCCCATATCAGAGAGCAGCCCCGCCAGCTCTGGGAGTGAAAAGAGCAGAGGGAAGATGTTTCATTCTGACAAGGACCAAAACAGGTGTGCTCCCAGTCCAGCTCTAATTCCTTTTCAATATTGAATTAATGGGGTTTATACAGTATGTGTGTGCATGCAAGTATGAGGATAAAAGCATTTATTATCCTCCAGTGACCTCAATTCAAATTTATTCTTATCTTTAAGCTTATATTTAATGTTAAAATAAAGTTCTTTAAAAATAATCAGTTAAATTCTAAATGTATTGTATTTAGAGAATACGCTTATTAGACCTTCTCTGTACTGACATCTTTGACATGCTGATTGTTCTGGCTCCTGCCAGGTATAATGATCTTTGCTGCTTTCTCTAGCAGACAGGTGGGCTGGCAGGAGTTTCTGAGAGAGAGTGGGATCTACATCCTGGCTGCCCGGCCCAACAGTCCCTCACTGCACCTCCTTCCTCCAGCCTAAACGTGACCGTCCCCAAGTCAAGGCTTGTGTGCTGGGGAGGGGTGTCACAATGATGCAGAACACCATGGGATGACAGGAAACACCAAACTGATGACACCAAGGAGTTTCTTATTTCCATTTTGTGAACAAGGTGTGTTAACTGCCATCACCACAAGTAGACGATGACAGTAAAATATTTATAACAAAATTATATATATAAACATTGATACCTTTTCTAATTTTGAGGTAGTGCATTTGTTATAAAAGTTTTATTTAACATCGTAACATGTATGGTAGTCTGCTGGGAGAGAATTAGTAATAGATGTTAATGTCTATTATATCTCAATAAATGAAAACTACTTCAGTATTAAAGCACATAAATACAGAACCTTTTACTTTGACACTACATATTATGTGTCACCTTTGCACTTTTTAAATACTTTTCCTAGAAAAGAAAAACTTTAAAATGGAGAAATATCGTTATATGTAATACAGAGCCTACTATACGTTTGATTAATGTGCAGCATTTCAATTTACACATCAGTTATTAAATAAATTCATGATACAAGTATTTCCAGTATCATTGCGTGAAGTGAGTAAGTGATGTTTGACTGTAGCATCATAATAATTTACATTATTGCCTCTAATGACAGCTTGGTGTCAATCACATGTTGCCTTCAGCTTATGTGGATTTTGGAGATTCAGCAAAGCGACTGACAAATATTGACGTCTTAATTAAGAAAACGGCTAAAGTCAAGATTTGTTGTCTCAAACTGTCGGGTGTTCTAAGAGGGCAAGCAGAAAATTAAGGTTGAAAATCACGTTGACTTAGTGATCCATGGCAATTTTAATCCACTAGATATATGAATATTTAACTGCATAGAAATAGGCAGCATGAATGATATGAGAGCTAAATACCCATTAAAAGCTGTTGGACAGCAGAGGAATGATGGAATATACTGAAGCCACATGCTGTTCATCTAAAACAATAACACCCAATTAGCGCTTCTGCTTTTAAACACCATTCCAAGTGTCAGTATAGATGTGGCTATTTTCACATAAAAAATATAATAGAAGTATTATGAGGAAAATTATGTACCTCTAAATTAAAGATGAGTTCAAAATGAACTAATACAAGCTAATAACCACCATCTGGCCTAGAATCGATGTGCTTCTAAATATCCTTCCCTTTATGTGGGGGGTCATGGGGGTCCGACAATATAGGGAATAAGCCAGCATGGGGCGACAACCATCAGGGTACACACACACCATTTGGCATATCTTGTGGGATTTGATGACATGGGGAGAACGTGGGAACGGCACACATCCCGGAAGTGTGAGGCATCAGGGCTAATGATTGACATGGGGAGAACGTGGGAACGGCACACATACCGGACATGTGAGGCATCAGGGCTAATGACGGACATGGAGAGAACGTGGGAACGGCACACATCCCGGAAGTGTGAGGCATCAGGGCTAACGATTGACATGGGGAGAACGTGGGAACGGCACACATCCCGGAAGTGTGAGGCATCAGGGCTAATGACTGACATGTGGAGAACGTGGGGACGGCACACACATCCCGGAAGTGTGAGGCATCAGGGTTAATGACTGACATGTGGAGAACGTGGGAACGGCACACACATCCCGGACATATAAGGCATCAGGGCTAAAGACTGACATGGGGAGAACGTGGGAACGGCACACACATCCTGGAAGTGTGAGGCATCAGGGCTAATGACTGACATGGAGAGAACGTGGGAACGGCACACATCCCGGAAGTGTGAGGCATCAGGGCTAACGATTGACATGGGGAGAACGTGGGAACGGCACACACATCCCGGACGTGTGAGGTATCAGGGCTAACGACTGACATGGGGAGAACGTGGGAACGGCACACATACCGAACGTGTGAGGTATCAGGGCTAACGACTGACATGGGGAGAACGTGGGAACGGCACACACCATGCCACGCATACAAAAGTGTATATGTCAAATGAACTTCATCACCTTTAAGTAGTATGCCAATAATTAAATGAGAAAATAACATGTATTTTTAATTTATGCATTTTTAAAAATTTTATTAATTTGCTTATAATGACGGTGTTCCAAGATCAGAATTCTGTCCAGATGATAAACAGAGTTACATATTTGTACATATTTGCTTGAACTGTATTGTCTGGATTTAAGAAATACATGTAATAAAACCAAAATACACACATTACAATGCTGACTTACTTTCCCTGTACAGTAACTGAGTTTTCTAAAACCACCTTGTCATTCTTATTCAAGCCTTCCTTCCTTTCTTCCATTAATTAGAAAATCCATACAACACAGAAATGTATATAATTCAACAGAGTTACAACAGAAACATTCATTTAATTTACTCCTGTTACAGCATGGAAACATGTATGTGATCAAGCAGGATATCAGATAAATCTCTAGTAAACTAAGTGCTACTTTTGTCACTTGTATTCAAGAAGTCAGTGTAATTTGAATTATGATTTCGACATCTCTACAGCTGATATAGGCCAATATAACTCCTTACAAAGAAGCCTCAAAGAACTCTATAAAGACACAGAGTGATAATCAGGGGAGGTTTTATGCACAGGCTTTCCTGGGCTGAATCGCAGGGGCCTCCGCTAAACAAGGGCCTCAACTAACCTTGTTCAATAAAATTTTAAACCTAGATTTGCCACCCGTGTCATTTTATGGGATTGTCCTATATTAAAAAAATGTAATGCTGAGTCCCAGTTAGGACCACTATGGTAAGTGATTCATCCTGTTTTTTCTCCTCCAGACCAAAATACTATTTAAACTAGACCATGTGACTGATCACCCCTAACAACCCCCGGAGCCTCTGGTCATTTTAATGAGGCACTGGTGATAATACACCGAAGACCCAAACATTAGATAATCGCGAGGCAGAATAGCAGAAAAAAAACAATACTAAAGACAGATTAACTATTTTTGGAATACTGAAGAAAAAGACTCCTTAATCATTTTTCACTCAATACGACTGTTGACGTTATGCAGGTACAAAGACAGTGCTGGTCTGATGAACCAGACTGACTCAGACACACCAATTGCCCCCAGTTGCTTCACTCAACACATCAAAAAATCTTTTCTTACATTCTTATATATGTCTTATGTTCTCACATCAAAAAATATCTGTTCTTTTTAATAGTAGCAATTAACAGCATTTGTTCTTCCACAATAACAATCTCAGCTACTGAGATAATTACCAAATGTTTCTTGTTTACCTTTAATGTTCCCCTGAGACATGGAGATGGCACCAAAACAAATGGGGTATATATAACTCAACTATGAAAATGTTTCTGGAATTAACTTCTATCCCTCTTTCTTACTCCAGGAAATAGATTATATAGGTATAAGCAGGATGCTGCTAGCATTGAACCTGGCTGTGATGGCTTTACTGGCCAATTATTTGCTTCGACTATGTTCTATCCATGTGAGAAATAAACTTCTAGGCCAAAGGTACAACTGAGAAATAATTACAATGAGAACAGCCTGTCATTCCTGCAGTCAGTGGTGGGTTTGTTGTTTTGGGGGCCGAACCCTAATGCATGGTTTGAGAGGTGGCAAACAACACTAATGCCTTCAGAAACACCAAATGTGTTGTTCTTTGTTCTCATTTGCATATTATTATTATCATTAGTAGTAGTAGTAGTAGGAGTAGTAGGAGTATTTTGTTAACATGGGGTCACTTTTCAGTCTTTCATGAAGGATTTAATAGTCTTGGCTTTTAGCCAAGTTGGATTTTAGCAACTGTTTGTTGTAACAAAGCCAGTTGCTGGTGTGTGTGTGTGTCTGTTGAGGCTGGAGGTGAAGCTTGGTGAGAGGAAGAGACAGGGCAATGTGGGCTAGAGTGACAGAGGCTGCCACTTTATCGAAAGTGCCCCATAGCAGATGGATGATAAGGCCATTGGGGGAGCTTATCTCCTCTCTTTTCCATTCTTTGGGAGCCATTTTATAAAATATTGAAGGACTGTTCTGAAGTCTTCCCTGTGCTATTATGCAATTCCCTCCTACACATGCAAAATAGATGAGTTCACTTCGCAAATCCCAAGGAGGCTCTGCAATGAGGCACATTCACAACACCATCATCAACAATGGGTGCAGCTTTGAAGAACAGCTTTGTCGTGATGTTTATGGCTTCGAATGGCTCACATTTAGCATAAGATTGTAGCACCGTAGGCTACGTTATCTTTTTATCTTTCACCAGGCCTCCCATCTCGAGGGGGGATGTTGGGGATGTTGTCTTGGGCCCAGAGAACCCAAGTGGCAGTGGCTGGTTTTGACGTCCAGAAATGAACGATTCTCTTCTCTGTGGTTTTCCTGGTCAGTGAATTTAATTGTGTCTATGGCCATCCTTCCTTTACGGAAGCCAAAGCTATCAAAAATGCACGGAAAAATGTGCAATCTGATATTCCAGACAGCTGATGAAGCTGGGTTCCTTTTATCAAGCGCTTAATGAAGGTTTGTGCACCAACCGCCAGGTGGATGACAGCCCTGCAGAAGTCTGGGTCAGCCGATTGCCACAGAAACTATTTCTCGCGGAAAATGAGGTCTCAATATATAACTTCCCCAGCAATTACATCCATTGCTGAAAAAATTGCAGTTAGACACTGATTAAATACTTCTTTGAAACCCACAAAGTAAATGACATTGACCCTCCCCTCTCCACATTGTAGCTCTATAATAAGGGCAAGAGATAGACAAGTTGGTATTGTGCAGAAATATATTTTAATGCAATGCACTTGTTAAACCCACAAAGCAGTTATACATTAGTTCCCCTCTGAATAATACTCCAGTAACAAAAATAACCTAGCACCCACTTCCCCTACCAGCCCATCCATCATTTACTATGTTGACAAACGCAACCTTGAAATGTGACACGCCAAGAAATACGATTGGTCCAGACGTAATATAGCTAAAAAAAAATAATAGACTTAATTAAGGCCAAGGGCTTGCTATTAGACTATCAACAAACATTTTTTGTTTTGATTAAAAAAATATAATGAAGTCTTTATAATCAGGAGCAGATTTTATATAAAGGTCGAGATAAATCAGGGAAGAACAACAATAGGAGAAAATAGAAGGCATCTAAAGTAGAAGCGTATCAGGTAAGCAATTAAAACTGTTTAAGTCACACACTCCAAACCAAGAAGCTGACAGGCTGAAAATGTGATGATATATTTGGGATAATAGCAGGACAGAAATAAAGCAGACAGAGGAATTCACTCATTCTTCATGAAGAAACTCTGTTAGAATTTTTTATAAAGACTTCTATATTTTTACACTTCTACACTTTTATATCCACATTGTTATATTTAGGATATTATTAACTAGGAAAAAAGACTGACAAGGCCCTTAAGAACATTGTCATTTAATTGTTATAAATGTATTTCTTAAATATTGTAAATGTTAAATGAACATATGAATCTCCGTATAAATCTTTCGGCGACACTTTATTTGCATTATTTTAATACTCCAAGCCCCACACATTGTCTTTTTATTGTTCTTTGTGAAGCTATTTTTTTTCTGTCCATGAATACCACGCTCACATGTTTCATTTATTCATAAATCACTTTTTAGCCAGGTAAAACCTCTGTTTAGAGTAAGAGGAGCAGTGTTTCATTCTGAGCATTAGTAATACTGGGATATATGACATTAACTGAGATTTTCTGAGGAACATTTTAAATAATATACCACTTTCGACTGCGGCTGTTTTCAAGTGTTGAACTGGTGTAGTTTAGTTAATAAATGCCCATTTGGTTCAGATCATCTGACACTTTTATTCAAAGCCACTTACTGTACAGAAGAGGGAAGGGCCAGAATTAAGACTCTACTTAAGGCAATGTTTATAATAATTTATAAACACATTCATAATGCATTATAATGCATTCATAAAACATTATAAACGTGGCTATAAATGTTTATAAAAAGGCATACCACATTATTGTCATGCCTCCCCCTGGTGAGAATAACAGCCGACAGCTGTTTGAGAGTGTTCTGTCTGTTACTATTATAGCCATGTTTATTATACATTATGACTGCCTAATGAAGCTTTCATCTATAATGTACTAATGATACCTTTATAAAGCAAAACAAAGCATCCTTAATGCTTATACCAACCATTATAATGCATTATGAAGTTACCTATAGTGCATTAGCGATGAGAGCTTCATAAGGTATTCATAATGCATAATAACATGGCTATAATGTGTTGTGCCTTTTGATAAATATTTATGTCCATGTTTTTAATGCTTTATGAATGCATTATTTGTTGTGAATGTTTATAAATTACTAAAAAAAGATGGCCTTAAGTAAAGTGTTATAGAATTAATCATTTGCTTCCTTTTGATTTGAAGCTACAACTTTTGCATTGTTAGGACTATGCTCGATTTGTTGAGCAAGAGATGAACTCGGAGATGCATTTTTTTTTAACAAGCCAGAAGGCTAGTGTTCAGATTTTTTTGTTCTCCCTCTTCATATAAATGACTCGCCTCAGGCGAGTGGACCAGCTTAATCACCAGCCCTGGTTGTGTTATATCTGAAGCCTGCAGTATGCATATCTATCAAATAAATCTATCACTTCTACACCAATTTAACGGCTGATTATGTTTATAATATGTATTTGTTTATTTCTGGGGGGAAAACAACTGTACTTGCAATACACCTGTACACTGGAAGGATTTATTTCAGAAAGATTTCTTATTTCAGGAAGCATTTACCCCAACAACATCAATTATAATATACAAAAGAATCTAATAATGCTGTAGTATATGATTAATGTCTTCTGTCATTTTATGTTGTATAAAGCGAAGGAAGTCTTGCTTAGAGGATATTAAAAGCAGACCCAGATAATGATTCTCAAAAGACCATAAAATAAGATTATGGAATACAAAAGAAAACCAAAGGGCAGCTTTCATTGCAACAGTCATCATTCCAAAGGGACTCTAAGCATGTGGACATGTTATAAAATCAAATACATACACTCACCTAAAGGATTATTAGGAACATCTGTTCAATTTCTCATTAA